CAATAAAACCAGAACACCAAAACTATGCACCTACGTGTGTACATGAATATATACAGTCAATTGTCATTACTCAGATTCATACTTGTGTGCCTGCCTACAATCCCACAATCGATATTGGTCACACTTCACAGAGATGCTCAGAGCAGCGAAAATTTGAGTCACCACATGCACGCATTCTCAGCTGAGGTCAAACTGGGTGAAGCTCTGTCTTCTTGTTTCAGCTCTCATGATATAAACAGTCTATTGGTGCCATGTTTTTTGCATTTTGTGCTTTTTTGGGGGTGACATCACTGCTTACAATGGCCCCCAAGTGTAGTACTGAAGTGGTGTCTTGTGTTCCTAAAAGCAAGAAGGCCATGATATGCCTTATGGGAAAAATTTGTCTGTTAAATAAATAAGCTTTGTTTAAAAATGAGTTATTAATGCTGTTGGCTATGAGTTCAATGTTAATGAATCAACAATATAAACATATAAATACGGTATCTTTCAACAGAAACACACATAAGCAAGGTTATGTATTGCTAGGTTAACAAAAATGTTGTGAGCAGAGCCTTGCACAAACCTGTGTATGTCCCATAGGAGGAATGGTTCAGTATTCACTAATTCAGTGTTCCTGGGGACTTTATGGAATGTAACTTCTGCAAATAATGAGAATCAACTGTATCTTGATGTCTGTGTATATGGTTGTGTGTGTTTGCGTAAAGATCTGTCCAGTATGAGTGGTTACACTTGAGGAGTGGGGACAAAGATTGAGGAAAGTTGTTCAAAGAGAATCTTAAGCTTTTATCTGAATTCAATTTTTTTAAAAAAATATATCAAAGAGGGGCAGGACACTAAGAAACTCATCAACGGTGACATGACTATTTAAATATCAGAGGCAGGACAAAAAAAGGCTGTATTGATTCTAAATCTCATGTCTCATCCCAAACACTTTTTCTCACCACAGAATGAAATGAGGAACTAATCACTTAGAAGAGTGAAAACTGGTAAAGCTCAATGAAAGGTGGTATAGTTAGTGGTTTAGGGAATGAACTATGAACCGAAACCACTAAGGTTTGAATCCTGGTTTTCCCACTCACTAGCACTATTCCTGGACAAGTTCCTTTTGCCTCTCTGTGTCCTAGTTTCTTTGAATATAAAAAGGGATCATAAGAGTAGCTACTTCATAAGGTTGCTACGGAAATTAAATCAATTTTGTCATGTAAAGTGCTTAGAATAGTATGTGGCCCCATAGTAAATGCTCAGTAAATACTAGCTATCACTCTATCACTATTACCATGACTGAAGAAAATGCCTGCTCTAAAAAAAAAGTGACCTATTAGGAATAATTTTTAAGTTAACATTCTACACAGAATAGGTAGTTTTTCCTATTTATGGTGAAGAAGTAGTAGTAGCAAAAATTCTCATTTTTTTCTGGATACAAGTTTTTTTATTTATACTTCCTAGTTCCAATAATAAATGTATTATTATATAAAAAGCACCTGTAAACATGTGAGCTACAGATAAGAGGTTGAAGCAAGTATCTTGCTGAACTCTAAATCTGGTGGGCTAAAAAGACAGCAAATTCTGTGAAATTGATAAGGCACCTTACTGACAAATGTCAGTGCCAACAAGCACTAACTACTTATTGTATAAAATGTTTTAAATATTTATTTGAATTCATACTTGCACATCATATTCGGACTGTAAAACTTTTTATAAAGAGAGGTATGAAGACCAAAAAGGCCTTATGTTCTATAGACCAGATTTCTCCTACCTGTCACATACATTGTTGAAAATACACTTAACTGATCCAAAGCGTACTTTCTGGAAAGAAGACACTGCTCTGAAAATTAGCAAAATGTCTGAGTTAAAGCTGAAAAGTGCCCACAGCCACCGAAGCTCTAAACTAAAGATCCTAGAGGTTATTCTTCCCTGAAGTAATTTTTCAAAACTAAGATAATGGAAGATACTTACTTATAAATCATTATCTTTTTAATTCTTTAAATTTTATATAACATTAACAAATATTTTTCATTTAATTCTAAGAAATTAAGATAAACTAGATTAATTTTGAAGGGAGCCAGAAAGTTAGGCTGAAGCAAATTTCTTCTTAGAAGATTTAGAAAATGAAATATTTGGCTTATTTATCATTAAAGATACACACACACACACACACACACACGAAATCCGGTGCATGAAATTCATGCACTCGGGGGAGGGGTGTCCCTCAGCTGGGCCTGAGCCCTCTTGTAGTCTGGGAGCCCTTGGGGAATGTCCCACTGATGGCCTAAGCTGTCAGTTGGACATCCTTGGCGCTGCTGTGGAGGTGGGAGAGGCTCCCACCACTGCCACTGCACTTGTAGCGCTCCCCCCTGTGGGTGCGTAATGACCACCAGGGGTCAGCTTCTGCGTTGAGCATCTGTCCCCCTGGTGGTCAGTGTGCATCGTAGCAACTAGTTGTTCCATGGTTCGGTCAATTTGCATATTACCCTTTTATTATATAGAATATATACACACAAACACATCTGTACATGAAATAACCCATTTGATTTCAATTCTATGTGGTGTAAAGGTAAAACAATTGGACAGCAAATGAATGAGAACCAAAACTAGGAACTCTAAGTAGGAATGAAACCTATAAAAGGTACTTTTGTTCATCAATTTTTATGCAAAGTATTTTTTGTTTTTAATATATCAGATTTCTCATTATTAAAATTAGCATGCCATGTGAATTTGCTCCTCATCCAAATTCACCAATGATACAAAGATTATACATATATTTTTAAATTTTTTAAAAAATATATTTTTATTGATATCAGAGAGGAAGGGAGAGAGATAAAAACATCAATGATGAGAGAGAATCACTGATCAGCTTTCTTCTGCATGCCCCCTACTGGGGATCGAGCCCACAACCTAGGCATGTGCCCTTACCGGGAATCGAACTGTTGGACCTTCAACCACACCGCCTGGCCAAAGATTATATTTTTAAGGCAGTTAATAACAGTACCCTAAATTGAGCACTTACTAAGTGTTTCATTTTGCTGTTTTCTATAATTATTTCACTTCTCTCAACAACATGAGGTAAGTACTCTCATTACCTCCATTTTATAGATGAATAAATTAATGATTAAGAAGGTGACTTGTTCAAGGTCACTTTTAAAATTAGCAAGTGACAGAGCTGATATCTAAACCTAGATTCTAACTCTGAACCACTATACTATGTTCTCATCTCTTAACTACTAAATATACTGCCTCCCTTTAGACAAAGTAGGAAACAAAACTCCACAGGAATTCTCTTTTTGTATTTTTTCTATTGTGTCTGTATTGTTCCCAGAGCAATTTGAGGTTTGTTTGAAATCCAAGTAAAACAAACTGTTTCTGACAAAATATATTAGCTGGCAGTGTACAGGACAGAGACAGAAGAAAGGAGTTAAGCTAAAGGTAAAATGTTTGCTGACAACAGCCTAACATATTTAAATAACTGCCAAGAAATTCTTGTTCTATAAGTCAGCCAGAGACATTTTAGTGCTGCCCATCAATAAAGTAAAAATAACAGCTCTGGACTGTACTATCTACATATAACAAGGCAAATATTCATTCAAACTGAGTATCTATGTGCCAGGCTCCCAATTCATTTAGCTCTAAATCTGTTTCAAATGGTAAAATTCATAAGGGCATGAATTTCTAAAATAATGCTTATACCTAAATTTTCCATCACAAGGTTGAGATTTCTTAACATCCTGAAAACATCTTTTTAAAAAGCCTTTATGTATCCCACCCACTGTATGGAATAGTTGCAAACAACTATCAACATTTTTAGAAGAACCTACTGGAGTCATACTTTACAGCAGCAGTCTCCCCAGTCTTGCCCTGTGGAACCCAACATATTCGGGAACTAGACCTCCATACTGCAGTTGCCTTGAGCAGTAGAGAAGCCTTGATTACCCATTGTGGAAAAAGAAAGGGCAACACCCCCAGGAACACTGCTATTTTTTCCCATCCCAGTGAAAAATACCAGAATTACATATGGTCTTTATTTTTTTCCTTTGAGGTATGGTTCACCTTTAAGAGACAAAAGGACAAACAATAAAGAAATTAAACTGATATCCCAAAGTGTTATTTTATTCCAGAGATAAAGAATTTATATTACACATACTAGAAAGCTTCAATACTGTTGCTCAACTCTAAGGCACACAATAATAGCAGTGGCACCGATGAGATTAATATGCATTTACTGTGTGACTACATCTTATAATGACAAGAGAAAAGGTGGAAATTCCCATATTTCAAAAGGCTACTACCTTGCTGAAAAGTTAAGCTATAAAAATGACTTACAAAAAGATCTTTGAAAATTTACCTGACTTAAAACTCTGGGTTCTGGAACTGCTATAAATTCCCCACTTTACTATAGTCTACTTTACTTTAATAATTTATTAATATTAAGTGAGAGTACTCTTAAATGAAGATGGATGTTTAAGATTCATCAGTCTTGGTTTCTTTAAGAAATACTGAGTTTTGTCCTGGCAGATAACTAAGCTGGTTTGAGCACAGTCCCAACACACTAAGGTTGCAGGTTCGATCCCTAGTCAGGGCAAATACAAGAATCAAACAATGAATGTATAAATAAGTGGAACAACAAATAGCTGTTTCTCTCTCTCCTTTTCTCTCACTCTAAAATCAATTTTTAAAAAAAGAAACATCTGAGTTTCAAAAAGAATTTGTCTTGAACAATCAAGATGCCAGCATACAAAAATTCCAATTTTCAGAAAAAAGATAATTTATTTTCTCTGCTCCCAAAAGATTTATTTCATTTCCTATCCTATCACTATACCCCATCACCACTCTGTTGACACCACACAACACCACAAAGAACAAACTGAGAGGAAAAATCACTCAACCAACAAGTGTTATCTCATAGTAAGTACATCAATAATACAATCTGCATTCCAAAACAATGCTATACGAATTAATTTATCTTGATCATGCTTCTATTGTCATCTGTTTATATAATAAGGAAGCAATTGGCGGAAAAGGAAAAGCAAACTGTTTTATGAACCGGTGACTGATAACTCTGTAGTAAGTTATCAGAAATTCTGCATTCTACCTCGAAGCCTGCTCCACTGCTTAGATGAACATTAGACCCCTGATGTTTCATTTAAAAAAAACCCAACTCCAACCTCCCAAATGCTAGGGCACTTGGCTGAATAAACTACATGGGAACACTTACCTAGAGTTGTAAAATCTGAACCAGATTTGAATAGAGCTGAAGCAAGGAGCTGAAACTATAAAAGAAAAATAGAAGCAAATTAGCTAAGCACATTAGAGAAAAATAACTTCTCTAATTATGACTATTCATTAGCCATTGTATGCCTCTGCATTTAAGTCTATTTACCAAAGAGTAGCAAGAAGAACACCATATTTAGGTAAAAGCATATACTGACTTTTCTACTGGATTGCTCATTATTTCCCAAAATACTGAACCAAGTTCTGGAATTATTTTATTTGAAAATTTTATTAAAATATGTATTTATTAACAAATAACTGGGTCAACTGAAATAAAACAGAAAATTACTTTCTCCAATGTGAGATAGTCTATCACATATGGATAGACTGGTGTCTTGAACAGATATTAATTCTTAGTACATACACATTCTCATTTCAAAAATAAACACATGCTACTATAAAACACTCTGCTGTGCAAATCGAACTCTGAGGGAAAAAAGTATGCTTATTATGCATAGGCCATTCCTAAATTATAAGTTAGAATGGTATTCCATGCCCATGTACAATTACATTGTTATGAATTACAGCTGTAATACAAGTAAATAATCTATAATAATAAAAGCATAATATGCTAATTAGACTGGACATCCTTCCGTACTAAAAGCGGACTAAAAGCGGCCAGAGGGAAGCCCGGGTCCTGGGTGCCAGAGGGAAGCTGGTGCCGGCAGCGGGGAGAAGGAAGGCCCACCCTTGCACGAATTTTGTGCATTAGGCCTCTAGTATAATAATAAATAAGAATAAATTGATTCACATACAACTTAAACCTACTTTTGCCCACCCTATATATAGTTCTTTATATATGCTGGGTCTCAATCCTCTGTCAGAAATATCTACTGCAAACATTTAGTCTGTGGCTTACCCAGTTTTTAATAATGTCTTTGAGATTTTAATTTTGTTCAAGTCCAATTTATCAAGTTTTTTCTTTTATGATTTCGTGGCTTTATGTCATGTCCAAGAAATCTTTGATCTATCCCAAGGTTGTGAAGATAGTCTAATTTCTTCTTGAAGTGTGTGTGTATGTGTGTGTGTGTGTGTGTGTGTATGTGTATACACACACACATATATAGTTGGGTTTTTTTTATTAATTTCAGAGGGGAAGAGAGAGGGAGAGAGATAGAAACATCAGTAGAGTGTCGGCCTGAGCGACTGGCTGCCTACTGCACGCCCCTACTGGGCATCTAGCTCACAACCCAGGCATGTGCCCTTGATTGGAACTGAACCCGGGACCCTTCAGTCCACAGGTTGATGCTCTACGACTGAGCCAAACCGGCGAGGGCTCTTCTTGAAGTTTTTATTGTTTTGAGTTTTATATTTAGATCTGTAATCCATCTTAATTTAAATTTTTATATAAAATATGAGATAGGGGTTGAGATATCAGCACACTGTTAAAAAGACTTTCCTTTCCCCAATGTACTTGGCACCCTGGTCAAAAAAATAAAAATAAAAATCAATGGATTCCATTGATGTGGGTCTATTTCTGTATTCTATTCTGTTCTACTGATCTATCTGTCTATCATAATACAGAGTTCTGAAATCAAATAGTATGAGATCTCCAACTTTTTGTTTTTTCAACATTGTTTTGGCTAGTGCAGGACCTTTTTGAATTTCCAAATGAATTTTAGAATTAGTTTGTCGGTTTTAACAACAATGACAAAACCCAAGCTTGCTGGCTTGTTTATAGGGTCCACATTAAATTAAAAACCATTATGGGGAGAATGAGCATCTTAACAATTTTTAGTCTTTCAATCCATAAATGTGATAGGTCTCTCCATTTTAGGTCTTATTTAACTTCTTACAACAGACTTGTAACTACATATTTAATTATTTTTGATATTAATATAAACAGGTTTTTACATGTCCTCTTCTAATTGTTCATTGCTAAGAAATATAAGAATAATTCCTTTTCCCCTATACGCCTTGCATTCTGTAACCTAGCTAAATGCAGTTATTGTTTTGCAGACTGCATGGGCTTTTCTATGTACAAAATGTCATCTACGAGTGCAAACAATTTCACTTCTTCCTTTCCAATCTACATGCTGTTTATTTCTTTTTCTCACATGGCAAATAGAGGATGTCTGTTGACACATTTTCCATAGATGCCCTATATGAGACTTAGAAAGCTTCTCTTTATTTCTAGTTTGCTAAGAATTTTTATCATGAACGGGTTTTTAATTTTGTCAAGTGCCCCTTTCTTCATTTATTGAGATGAGCTATGGTTTTCTTCCTTTATTCTGTCAATGTGGTGAATGACTGATTTTCAAATGTGAAGCTAACCTGTGTCCTAGAATAAGCCCCTACTTGGTCATTGTGTATTAAACGTTTTATATATTGATGGATTCAAATAGCTAAAATTTTATTAAGAATTTTGCATCTGCCCTAACCGGTTTGGCTCAGTGGATAGAGTGTCGGCCTGAGACTCAAGGGTCCGAGGTTCGATTCCGGTCAAGGGCACGTACCTTGGTTGCAGGCACATCCCCAGTAGGGGGTGTGTAAGAGGCAGCTGATCGATGTTTCTCTCTCATCGATGTTTCTAACTCTCTATCTCTCTCCCTTCCTCTCTGTAAAAAAATCAATAAAATGTATTTTTTTTAAAAAGTATTTTAAAAAAAAGAATTTTGCATCTGTATTCATGAGAGGTATTGGCCTGTGATTTTCTTTGCTTGTAATATCTTTTTTGTTTTTTAATCCTCACTCAATGGATACTTTTTCCATTGATTTTTTAGAGTGTAAGGGAGGGAAGGAGAAAGTGAGAGACAGAAAGAGGGAAACATCCATGTGAGAGAGATGCTCTAGCCACTGAACCACACTGGCCAGGGCTCTTTGTTGTGTTTTTATATCAGAGTTAAGCTGCTTCATAAAAGAATTTAGAAAGTATACTGTCTTCCTCTGGTTTCTGAGAGTCTATGTGTAGAAGTGGTGTTTCTTGTAATTTAAATTGTTGATAGAATTGAATGATACAGCCATTGAGGTGCAGAGTTTTCACTATTAGTTTTCAATTACAAATTCAATCTCTAATTGACATGAAGTTCCTTAAGATTTTCTAATTCTTCTTGTAACTGCGTTGATAAATTGTGTTTTTTAAGGAATCTGTCCATTTCATTAATCAGCAACTTGTTGATAAAGTTATTAATAATGTTTTCTTATTACCTTTTAATGTGTGTAGGGTCTGTAATGATTTCCTCTTTTCATTTGTGATGTTGATAATTTATGTTTTCACTTTTTTTCCCTGTCTTCCCAGGGGTTTACCTATTTTATCCACCTTTTCAAAGAGCCAACCTTTCACTTTTAAAATCTTGTCTACTATTTGTTTCTATTTTACTAATTTCCTATCTTCTACTTATTTTGAGGGTTAATTTCCTTTTCTAATATCTAAGGTTTATTGGCTCTACATACAGAAGGATGGGAAGGGCGGGGGAAACCCTGTCATTTAAATAATGTTATTAAATTATGGGTCTAGGATTTTAACAGGTACCAAGTGATATACAATCTGAGTAAATCCAGACCTCTCCTCCAAATTCAGACTTGAATATATACCTACCATTTCAAGATCTCAAGTTGGCTGTTTCATAGACATCTCAAACTGAACATACCCAACATTAAATTCCTGATCCCGGTCAGGAGTCCCCACCCACCACCACAAATCAGATCTACCCAGTGCATTTTCATTTGGTTGATAACTCAATTCACTCAGGTAAAAAAACTTTGGAGTCGTTTATTCCAAATCCTATGTCCAATCCATCATAAAATTCTGTTAGTTCTATCTTTAAATATATTGAAAATCTGATCTACTTCATTTCTCACTAATTCTACGACTACTACTTGGGTCTGAGCTACAATAATCACTTGCTTAGATTTCTACAAACTTTTGCTTAGATTTCTACAATCTCCCCCATGCGTCTCTCTGCCTGAATCCTCATTCTCCTTCCTTCATCTATCCTCAATACAATAGAGTGATGTAAAATACAGAGCAGATTATATCACTCCTCTGCATAGTACTCTGAACTAGCTTTTTATTCATTCAGAGTAAAAGCCAAAGTTCCAGCAATGGCTTACTAAATCATTCACAAACTCCAATTCCTGCTCTTACCTCTCTGACCTCATCTCTGACCACTTACCCATCTCACCTCTACTACAGCCACAATGGCCCCCTTGCTGTTCTCCTCAACAAAGTCAGAATGCACTTAGCCTTGGTTCTTTGTTCTAGCCCTCCCTTAGCCAAATTATTGTCTTAGATCACTTCCTCAAATCCTTCAAATCTTTGTGAAAATCTCCTGTCTAAATGGGGTCTGTTATAATCATCCTATTTAATACAGCAACTGCCCATTTCTCACTCCCTTGCATTCTGATCTCCCTTTACCTTTTTATTCCTCTTGTGCCTAGAAGAACGCCTGACATACTGAAGGGACTCAACACATTTCTGTTAAATTAATGACACCAGTACTCTGGAAGTTCAGCAGAAATTTTCTTAATAAATAATGTGCAATACCAGCTAAAACTTGCTTTTCTTGTTTTTTTCTCTATTATAGAATCCTCTGAATGATGGAATTAATTTAGGCATCCTTTTCTTGGGTCTTTCCTTGGGGGAGGGGAATGTCATTTTCATAATCTTTACTAGAAGCTCATCATTAATTTAGAACCATGTTCTGGAGACTGGACAAAAGCAACGAACCATTTGGTATATAACCACTATTTCCCCAATAACATGATGATCACCATCATTATGATAAACACCCGCCCCCCCCCAAAGAAAATTCTAAAAACCACTTTTAGTTGCTGTATAACAACTTAATATAGTGAAAATTTTATAAAGTGTACATAGAGAACAAAAATAAACTACTACATACAGAAAGTACTGGATAACATTAAGGCCTTTCTTGGTAAGTGGAATGATTTCTTAAAAGGAAAATGAAGACCTATATAGTTTGCTAAAAATATTGTATTTACTAGAACCATCATCAAGAGATTTCTTTCTCCAAAACAAAATCCATTCACACATTTAAAAAAAAAATTTTGGCTCAGTGGATAGAACGTCAGCCTGTGGACTGAAGGGTCCTGGGTCCAATTCTGGTCAAGGTCACATGCCTGGGTTGTGGGCTCTATCCCCAGTCGGGGGCATACAGGAGGCAGCCGATCAGAGGTTCTCTCTCATCATTGACGTTTCTCTCTCTCCCTCTCCCTTCCTCTCTGAAATCATTAAAAATAAAAAAATAATAATCTTACAAAAGATCAATGTCAGGATGTTTTCAGTTTTCTGTTACATAAGATCGGACAGAGGAATATCTGAGGGTGAGGGTATTGTTTTGAAAAAGTTTCTGAAGTGATTCGGATGCTGAAAAACACATACACATCATTTTAACTAACTTCTACCAGAGCTAAACAACTCTTAATAGATAAAACTTTTAAAAAATAGAGTGGAAGTCTGTGGCATACAAAATCATAATTTGAGACTATTAAAGAAAGGAGACAAAGAGAAATCCACTACCAAAATTTTAAAAATTGCTCTGTTTGAATCTGGGATAACTCCCTGTCCTGGTTTTCCCAATAGCTTAGCATTAAGAACAAACTGTCCATTTTCTTTGGCCTACTTGCAGCTGAAATTATTTACTTGGCAATATTTTGGTTTGGCTTTTTAAAAATTAGAGAAAAATTAATGTTTCCAGGTTCTAGCCATTTTAGACTATGGAGAAAACAGTATCATGAATTGACTGAAGACTCAAGGAAAAACAACTAGCTATCTTAAAAAGTTTGAGGACCCCTAAAGCACGGGTCCTCAAACTTTTTAAACAGGGGGCCAGTTCACTGTCCCTCAGACCATTGGAGGGCCGGACTATAGTTTAAAAAAAAACTATGAACAAATTCCTATGCACACTGCACATATCTTATTTCGAAGTAAAAAAACAAAACGGGAACAAATACAATATTTGTATTTGCATGTGGCCCGTGGGCCGTAGTTTGAGGACCCCTGCCCTAAAGTATGTCCTGATGATTCTCCATCTAATGAAGGGTTGTAACCAATACTAAGAGAAATAGAAATTATTTTCACAGTAGGCAACTATGAAAGAGTATTTCTTTGTTTTATTGCCAAGGACAGGTGGGCTCTACTGCTTGAAAGTACAATGAACCTAGTGCCTGAAAGTATTCGATATTAAATCTGAAACCTGTGCTGAATAGAGAAAAGCACTGCTTGATGTTGCTATTACAAAGCCAAAGCAAAGCAACAGCTAACAGAGAAATACTTTAAGGAATAGAACTACATATAATTAGCACCAATTCTGTGAGTGGAAGATAAAATGGATTATGGTTCAGATGTTGCTAGGTGAACTCTGAATAAGGACAGTCATCAAAAGGAAAATATGACAAAAAGAATCTCAGAAGCTAGTAGTAAAACAGGCTATAAAACCATGAAACTTGTTGCAGGTATATTCACACAAATAATAATATTAGATCTTTTGCTTCCATCCATGTTAGATTACAACAACAACAAAAACAACCTGAAAAGTAATGATCTGCTATCAATTTCTCAAACTTAGGGACCACTGACAAGTGAAGTTAGTAGCTATAGTCAAGCTATCCTGATACAACATTTGCATAACTAACTATCAAAGCAGCAAGGATTCTACTCCCATCAACCTCTTTTCACCTTCTCCCTACAGAAAAGGGGAGTTTTCTTTTTTCTTTCGGAGTATCAACAGAAAAGTTTATAATGAACCATTATGTAATCCCTGAGTAAAAGAAGCATGGGACTATGGGCGTAAAATTAAAACTAATATCTAAATTAAAACTTTGTATCTGATAATCCTATTCTAAATGGATCAAGGGTTTTGTGTGTGACTTGAATGTTATATCACATGAAAATAAGCCTATTTAATTTTTATTTCATCTGCTCTGTCATTTTTAATATTAGAACCATCATATTTTTCTTTAAACATCTAAGATCAAAATCAGCAAATATAAGTTGGAAAAACTTTTTTTTTTTAAACTCAATTTCTGAAGTTTATTAACACCTTTACCTCTTTTGTCTCTTCTGGGTCTGAATGATCCACAGTTATATAAAGATCGTTTTGTAAATATTTCAGAGCACTAAGAGGATCCATTTGGGCCTTTTCTTCAAACCTAGAAAATGTAAAAAAAAAAAGAATAATAACTGTCTGGAGTTTTAAGAAAACATCAGAAATGTCTTTCAGAGCTAGGACACTGTATAGGAGGAGTTATTTGGATATCTAAAAACCCTGCATTTGGGAATCCAGAAATGAGACGACTGTCATATAGATAATATAAGCTAAGATAAAATCAACGATAAAACAGTAAATATGTCAAATATTGTACATAAACTGGGAAGGGG